AATAACCGCTGAATGGCGGACGAAAACAGCTGACTGTGGATTATTGTCAATAATAATCAATCTCATGCTCAAATCGAAAAAATTAATTGCATGTTAACTATAATTTCATTGAAAACCACTACTTTCCTTGTTGCAACAATGTTGGTTTAAGTGGGATAAGCGTATCATTTCAACCCTCCTTTCCTGTCGCGTTTAGTAACGATACACGATATCAAGCGTATATCGTCCAAACGCATCAATTTGCATTTGTCACGGCGGGGTTTGCAGTATTTACTGCGCAGTCTGGTCCGACTTTGTTATATATGAGGACCGCCTTTTAACTGGCCGCTGCAAATGATCCGGGATCACCAATACATTTGTGTTTATGTTGAATATATAGCGTCGAATAGCGCCGTCGCCATGTGGCTTGAAGAAAATCCAGGCTGTTCCGCACCCTTTCATGATGGAGCTTCTATAGTGAAAGCAATCCCCAATCCTAGCCGGACATTGTAGCGAAAACTACAATGGGATGACATGATGAATGCATAAATCTGTTTATTATTGTGTCCTCGAGGTCATATTTTCTATTGTATAATTCCTGTAACCTTACATTAATAAATGGTAGGCAAATTATGACTCTTCGCGTGTTTTTGCACGGAATTGACACTGTGGAGAGGAGCTTACTGGACAGCGAACTCTCCTGCGAACTGGCCTCAGGCCTGAGCACTCGAATGCAAAACCTAACTTGACGTTCAACTCAACCAACCATAAATCCATCAATAATGAACGTATTTTATTAAAATTTGAAAAATAAGTAGATAATATCAGTAATTTGTGGACGGAATTATTTCAGATTTTTACATAAATTACTTTTTTATTAATACGGAAAACCTAACTTCACGTTCACCTCGCAGTTTGGGTCCTAGTCATGTCAAGTTTCAGTATTTTGTGGCATTTAAAAAAAAATTGATGTAAAAATCTTAGATAAATCCGTTCGCAAATTATTTATAATATCTACTTAATTTTCAAATTTGAATGAAATCCGTTCATTATTGATGGATTTATTGCTGGTTGTGTTGATAATGAAGTTAGGTATTCCGTTTTAATAAAAAAGTAATTGATGTAAAAATGTGAAATAATTCCGTCCACAAATTATTGATATTATCTACTTATTTTACAAATTTGAAAAACATCCGTTCATTATTGATGGATTCATGGCTGGTTGAGTTGAACGTCAAGTTAGGTTTTGCATTCGAGTGCGCAGGCCAGTTCGCAGGCGAGTTCTACAGATTTTGGGTTCAATGTCACGCAGTAAACTTCTGTTAGATGCGACGCGCTAAACTTGATTTCAATGCCACGCTCTGAACTTGTGTTCAATTTCATGCATAAGGGTACGCGCACAGTGAAAGCAGGTTGCCAGCGTGCTGGTTACCTGCTCAGGCTGGCGCCTGAAACCATAGAATACAGAAGCCTATTCGTACAGGTTTTCACTGTGAACACTTACATTATTATCATATGTTCATTCTTGTGGCAGGTTGGAGCAGGTTGCCCGCGCGGGCAAACCTGCTTTCACTGTGTGCGTACCCTTACTCTTCTGTTAGATGTAACGCACTAAACTTGGTTTCAATGCCATCGCATCAAGTGTAAAATAATTTGACAAGCTGGGTATAGTGCCCCCATCCAAAATCTGGCCCAGTCTTCATAAGCTTATTCGGTTGTCTACCGAATAATTGTTTTAATGATGTCATCTGCAAGTAAAATTTTCGTTTCAGATTCTATTTAGTTCGGTCCTTTTCACGCGCTTGTTTGAGTTCGCTAGTTCCAAATGTACAGCTAGTTTGTACGTGTTAAACTAAAATTTCTGATTAAACTTTTAATTTGAATTAAAAATTTAGCAAATTGCAATATTTTATAATTGCTCCAACATTTAATATTGGTATTTGCGCATGAATTTTTAATGTAAACTCAATTTTCGTGTTAGAATATTTGTAATTTTCAGCAAAATTTAAACGATCGACTGCTGTCAGCTGCGATATCTTGGGGAGAAATCGCAATTTAAATAGGGAACAGAATATTACTTTCATCCATACATTTTCTACAACAAAATAGTATATGAAATTTCAAACGAAGATCATGTTTTGTCTGGATAACGTACGCACTGCACAGGCACACTGATTTCCCGGCGTACTCTTCACACACCCCTCGCCTCGCAGGTCTCGAAACCTTCTCCTCAGAAACTGCCTACCGATTGCCGCCCTCAGATACCTTGCGGTTCTACATGCCACCTTCCATGGCGCCGCTTTTCTCTCGACGCTGTATTTTCTGGTGCTAGCACATCCTGATATTGTCTTCCTAGAAGGCGTTCGTCAATTAGAGTTAATAGCGGTTCCATCATTTATTAAGCCGGTCGCCAGTTTTTAACATCGCAGAGAATTCACAGCTTGCTGTGCCCTCGAACACGCAATGCATTGCTCCAATTCTGATATGCTTAAACGGCCACCTCCTCGCAGATTCTGAGCATAAACTGGCGCCCAGAACTGGAATCGAACCCACACCTATTCTCCAATCATGGCTGGACTGCAAACACTGGGCCACCCTTGACTTCTTCCCTGACACCATCATCTAAGTCAATTAATCTTGCAATTAAGAGTATACCTAATGCAGATTGCGCTTGCAATGGACTCTCACAATTTTGTGTGACGGCGATGATGACGGCGCAGTAGTATAAAATTTTCGTTTGTACATTCATCTCGCCTCCTTTTGAAAGAGCACTATATTCCTGAGCTGCACTTAATTATCGATTAATGATTTTGTGCTCTATATCTCATCACGTTTTTGATATTTAAGTAACCAATAGTCCATTTTGTCGTCCGCAATCATAGATTGTTTGACCTGCTCCGGGTAGCAGACAACAGCTGGTGGGGCGCATGCCGCTGGCCAGCTTTGCTAACTTCACACTTATATCACATTGTGAAACGCTACTGACCACCTGGAGAGTGGAGAGCAAACGCCGGCAGAGAGGAAATGTAACTGAAAGAAAACTACGAAGACGTGCACTAAATAACCATGTCTGAGTCCAGGTGTTACAAGCTTACAACTTACAAGTGCAGAAGCCTTGATCCCTTGAAGAGTTGAAGCGCTAGCAGTCAAACCATCAACCTCAACTCAACGTGCAACAGTCAACACTGCAAATTCTACTTGAGTTCTTCAATGTGCACTAACTTCATACTTTCACATTTCACTTAGATCATATTTCTTTCTGTAGGTAAGAAAACTAGAGGACCTAGCAGTTAGCACTAGCAGGATTAGCAGCCTATGTTATCATTTAATCATTGTTAATAATTTGTTCTGTAGTCAATTGACAATTGCTTCAAAGTTAAAACCATAGGCATAGTGCCATCATGCCATGTTTCCAAATTCCAACAGTCCACCTGCTCCACTGCCACCACTTGATCATGCTAAACCTAAAGGCTAAAGGCAATTATTACCATTGTCTGTACCAATTATACCATTACCATACCATACTACCTACAGGCTTTAGTTTAGACTAATAAACACTGCTACATGATACCGCATATTATTATTATTATATTATTATTATTATTATTGCTGGTGCTGTGCTGTGTCTTCTGCCCAATTTTCCAGATTGGTATTCCTATGGCTCATAGCCTAATGGCTATGCTAGTCTGGAAAAGTCCTATTTTTGTCTGAAATATCGTGGCTCTAATATCATATAATTTCAGTAGGTATGAAATCTCGCGGCTCGAATGGCATAAATTTTTGTTTGATTAAAAAATCGCGGTTTGCACTTCGCAAACATGTCATTTCATAAAATTTTCAACTTCCGCAATCCGCATTGCTTTACCGTTTCCGCCAAAAATATCTTGCAGATACATCGTAATGTAAACAAATAAACAAAACGTTTGTTGAAGATCGCGCATAGTTGCGGTCATGTCAAAGCGGTCAGACTGTATATTAACACGTGCTGAACTTACAGTAGAGACAAATTTTATTGTTGCCGTTTGACTGTTTAAGGGCATAGTGGCAAACCAGTAATTTTTTAGAATCAGTTCATTTTTAATTTCCTTATTTACTAAAGATTTTAACAGATTTCTTATGTATGATAATTCTGGTATCCAAGATACTTTACTGGTCTACTTATAGGACTCAAAAATGAACTTGAGGAAGAGTCTAAAAAACTCTCTGCTTTGCCACTATGTTTAAGGGTAAAATTAGAGATTTGGGGTAACACGTGCATAAACTTTGTAAATAAATTCGCATTCACACCTCGTAAATGGCTTTTCATGGCCAAGATATGGAATTCACGGCTCGGTGAAATAGAATCACGGCTCGTAGAAATGGAATCACGCCTGGCAAATCCATAAAACCACGGCTCGAAAAATTCAGTCGTGGCTCGCCAAGCAGATATATTCCATACTAGTGGCTATGGCCAATTGGCCATAGGCCATTCGCCGCCATTGACTAATACCTCGAGTAAAACTTGTGAAAAATGCATAGTTTCGATTAAAATTTTTGGAAATAACCTTTGAAATAATCCTTATCACCCACAATTTTTTTGGAAAATTATGATTAATATTCTGAACTGGCTTACTTTTGGAATATAAAATTTTCTTTGTGAATGATATAGGTAAAAATAATTACTTTAAATTTAGGATATTTCTTCTTACAAGGGTAAAACATTCTGCCAACAATCTAAAATAATTGTAGAAACAAAAAAAGGCCAAATCAATTGTTATGTTTCTTTAGAGTTGTGGACAAAAATGTAACTTTTTCTTTATTTTTACCAAAGAAATTAAGCAAGAGAAGCAGAAACCCGTGAAACTATCAGCCAGCACAGACATTTTTGTCTCATTTAGAGGTAGCTTCTCCCCAATTTTACCAAGTGGCTATGTCATGATTGTCATCTGAACTGCTCTTCATTTTGAGTCTTGTATCAAGTTGAGGCAAGGGTCAAAATGTATAGGTATAAGATAAAGCATCTTCAAAACTGCTAATGCTGAATTGGCTTCAATACATTTTTAGCTTCTCTTTTGTATCAGTTTATTATTTATAATTTAGGTACCATTTACCATACTAACTAAATATTTGTAACTTTCATTGAAGCTAGATAAATAATCAAGTTATTTGTGAACATGGATAATAAAAATAAAAAAGAGTCATCGGGCCTTCGGAAGGCTGATCGGGTTCGTAATTTGTGTATCATGGCTCATGTTGACCATGGCAAAACCACTCTGGCTGACACACTTATTGCAACAAATGGGATCATATCTGAGAAGCAAGCAGGATCTATCAAGTACATGGACAGGTAATTGTGCATCACATTAGTTTAGTTATTTATTTTACAAGTTATTATATGTCGCCTTACAATTCCACTTGTATAATAATATTGCAGCAAAGGTATGATAACAAAACATCCTAGTACTTATATATTTTTAAAATTTTGATGACGTACATACATACCGGTACTATCATCTATGTCAAGAATTTTTGGAATGTGTGGCATTGAATTTGTACTTAACAATTAATTTATGGTGACTGATTTTCATTATATTCTCTACTACCTATGTATTGACATACAATATTCTCAGATTTTACTCCAAACTTTCTTGCAGCCGCCCAGATGAAATGGCTAGAGGAATCACCATGAAAAGCTCCTGTATCACTCTTGCATACCCACACCAGAATGAGAGCTACCTCATCAATCTCATTGATTCTCCGGGTCATGTTGACTTTACTTCAGGTTTGTACCTGCATCCAAATATCGACTACAAATTAGTTAGATGAAAAGTCCCTGTCTGATTGAGGCAGAATTTTTGTTATTCAGATCATTTTACATTTTTGTTGTTGCAGAGGTGAGCACGGCTGTTCGTCTCTGTGATGGGTGTATCTTGGTGGTTGATGTAGTGGAAGGAGTCTGCGCTCAAACAAAGGTGGGTTGTTTTTCCATAATATCCATATATTGTTACTAAATATCTTATTGTTTAATTATGATTGAAAGTTTTCAATGCATTCAAGGTTATCAAATAATTTTACAGATTTTGACTACAACTATTTGATTCTCATTTAGTTAACTTTAGGACCTGACATGAGAAATTGACCATTTAGCATTCTCATGTTTGTCTGACATACTCTTTAAATATGTATGCCTAAACTACTTTGAGGAGATATTCTAATGTTTATTTAATGTCCATGTCATGATATTTGTATAGGCTGTTATGCGACAAGCCTGGGTCTCAGGGGTGAAGCCTGTTCTTGTACTCAACAAAATTGACAGACTCATTCTTGAGAAGGAACTTGCACCTCTGGATGCCTACTACCACATAGCCAATGTTCTGGAGCAGGTGAGTTATTGCAGTTATTACACATTTTTTGGCTCTAAACATGCTATAAAAATTTATTTCCATGCTAGTTGTTGCTTTCACCTCTATACTTTTTTACTCTCTCTTCTCTTTTATATTTTTTGTGCTGCAGTTTTCAGAAAAAAAATTATTTATTTTCTTCACTGAAGCCTGAATTTTAGCATACATCATTGTTTATTTCATAATTTGTATCAAATGTTTTATTATTTCAAATCAATATCATTAATCTTGTCAAGTCCTTTCCATGCCTGAACTTTCCTTGCTGAAATATGTTACCCATTGCTTTGTTCTTTATTTTGGCTGAGTAACGAGAATGTCGTTAAAAAAATATATTTTTGACAGGTCAATGCATACATGGCTGAGCTATACAACACAGATGTTTTTGGACGAACTAACGACAGAACAGATGCTGGTAAGCAAAATAAATTTCCTGGGCTAAATTTACGCAAAATTTATTACTTACTGGTACTTTTTGTTTATCACCTGGAAACAATCATTTCCAGAAACAACTTTCATGTGAAGCATGTATAGCATAATATTTGTTTCTATTGGATCTTTGTAGCTGAGCTTATCCTCATGCTACATCGTGTGTTACTTCATTTTGATAAATATGTTATTTCTTTCAAACAATAGTTCTTTACTTTTATCGTCCTTTGCTCTGTGCTAGATGTAAATAAGCTCCTGCTTCATGTGCTCATGCCATATAATACCGTACTGCACTTTTATCCTGCTCTTCTGTACCTGTAAGACCAGAGACGTTCATCGAGCAGCAAGACTGCAGGTCCCTCTTCCCCAAGCAAGACTGAAGGTCCCTCTTCCCCAAGCAAGACTGAAGGTCCCTCTTCCCCAAGCAAGACTGAAGGTCCCTATTCCCCAAGCAAGAATAGCTCATGTCTGACAGAGGGTAAAAGCCTCGTCGACTGGGGCATTGAGGACATCGATGACTCAGACTTGTACTTCAACCCCACTGATGGCAATGTCGTCTTCGCCAGTGCTATTGATTGCTGGGGATTTGGGTGAGACTCTAAAGCTTTATTTCAGAGCCCAATGATACTTGGTTACTTTGGTTGATTTGGTTTTGGTACTTATTTTGGTTAAATTGGTACTTGGTTAATTGTATATAATAAAGAATTTAGTGTTTGTTTCTTAACAGTTTAGTGTTCAAATAACATTACCTCGACATGTATACATTACATTAAATAGTCATGTAGGTTTAAAATTTGATGCCATTAAAATACACTCTTCACATTCCATATTAAAAAGCTTTATTTAGCTGTTTACTTGTACCGATATTTGGATTTCCATAATAATTTTTTTAAAATTTGTATGTTCAGGATTTCGCAGTTTGCGGAGCAGTTCTCCAGCAAGCTGGGCATGAGCCTGAAGGTCTTGTCAAAAACCCTGTGGGGGGACTTCTACATTTCCAGTAAAGGTGGCGAGAAGCGAATACTCAAAGGGGCTCGTGACAAACGCAAGAACCCTCTATTTGTGACCCTCATTCTGGATAACCTTTATCAGGTGAGCATGTAGTTTCTTGAACTTTCATTTATTAAAAAATTTACTTCGCATCTTCAGAAACATGTGATTTATGTTAGGAATGTGTCTGGGTCCAAATCCTGCAATCCAAGTTAAATAATGATACAAATAAATGATGTTAAATCTATTGAACTGCCTTTCGTATAGATATAAAAGAAAGTTCGTCCTTCAAGTTTGTTTACCAATTCTTTTTCATTTAATGAGTGACTCATTGATTAGTCATAGGTTCAGGGGCCGTACTATCACGACTCGCTAAGTACACATTTTGTCCTAAGTACACGTAGCGGCTCAAGTTCATCTAGCGACCTAAGCACAATTAACGGTCAGCACACGTAGCTCCTTAAATACACGTAGAGATCTAACTACAATAAATAAATATAACTCAGTACTCACTGCAGTGAGTGACTGAGAGCGCATTTTGTATTCGACGAAAACGTGGTCACGGACGGACGGACGGACAGACAGACGGACGGACACGACGAGCACAATAGCGCCTTTTTTCCATCAATGAGAAAATGCGCTAAAAAGCGGCGAATTTCTTGTCTACGATTGGTGGGTTTAGCTTGAATATCTGTCATTGATTGGTTGACGGAGTTACGAACTCATAACTACTTTTTATTGTAACTCTTAGGTTTACAAGAAAGTTCGGCCAGCAACTGCTGACCCTGCTGACGTACGCAAGATTGCTGACAGTTTGAACATCAAGATGTCAGCTCGTCTGTTCGAGTCAGCCTCTGAGAGCAAGACGCGCTTCATGCACATCTGCTCCAACTGGCTCCCGCTGTCTAAGGCTGTCCTCAGTCAGTTCCCAGTATATATTTAATTCCGTATTATGTTTGAATTTTGTATACTATAAAATGTTGTTGGTCCGATATATTGCTCAATTAAATTGTCGAAGATATTCATATGTGTTCTTGGCTGCATTCATGTAACAAGCCGCAGAGTGACTGAAGCATTCGAAAGCGTTTTCACATCTTAAAACCTCGGGTATAAATTCCACTATTGCCGTAGAAAACCGTAGTTTCTTGTTGTAACTAAAATTCTATCTTCGCTATGTCTGGTCAGTGATAAGAAACCCGTTAAAATTTAGTACCAGAAATGGTCCTGTGCAGTAAAATTTAGAGTCAGATATGGCCTGGCTCATGGGTGCTTCTAATGTGCATTTTCTTTTTGTTAGAATTAGGTCCTAAAAAGGCAACTTTTATTAGAATTAAGTCCAACCAACTTGCCATTTATGTTAGAATTAGGACTCAAAAAACGAGACTTTTCGATAGAATATGACCCCGGAAATGAATACACAATTGTGTGCCGTTGTGTGCTACAGACATGGTTGTGCTGCAGCTTCCAGCCCCGACTACCATATCAGAAGAACGTGCGAAGAAGCTCCTCACAACTGCCACTCACGACTTCAGGTGACCATTGCACCAGCAGCACAAACAATATAATGTTTACGTTAGTACTTCTACACTCACGACTTCAGGTGACCATTGCACCAGCAGCACAAACAATATAATGTTTACGTTAGTACTTCCAGCAGTGCAGTACTTTCATTTCTATTACAATAAGGCAGATATACCTAGAACTTGTTCGATGATCAGGCGCCATTTGTGTTGGTGCTTCATGAATGCCGGTACGTAAAATTTGTTATTCGTTTTTGACTTAATTTAAGTTTTAATTTACTAACCATTCGATCATAATATAAATGATATGCGTATATAATCATGTTCCTAAATCATAATCGCTTCTTATATTACTTATTCACTTTACTTATTCTTCACGCATTACGGATATACTTCTAGCTTATTTTGTTTTCGTTATAGTCATCTTATTCGTAAGTAAGTAATGCAACATGATTTTAAATCTAAGATTTTTATGAGATTTCTCAGTGTTCTTTGAAATGTTAATAGTTTGTTTCCGCCGGAGTTCGCCAGCGTCCCTAGGAATCATAATTGTACTCCTAATTATTGAATGCTTTATTTAAATTATAATATAAACCGTAATATTAATTATAATACTCATCATAATATTAATCATAACAAATCATGATATTAACGATAAATGTTGATATGGTCAGGAGTCTACCAGCGTGCAGTCGCTCGCTGCTGCCGCACCTGCAGCGCTGCAGCAGCGAGCCTAGCGCTCCCCTCATCGTTTATGTCTCTAAGGTAATAGTATATCTTATCTATTATATGAATAATATTTTTATTATGTATCTTTCTTGAAAAATAGGCTTCTATAATATATATTAATATATGGCGAGAATATCTACATAAGCATGCATATGCTGAACCATGCAACTAGTGTTAATGCATGATTTTCTCTTAGGATGATCACCTTTGCATTCAATGATTACATTTCCTTCTGTGCTTTTATTTGTGTTTTTGTCGTAGGTTTTATTTTAATTTCATTCCTTTACAGATTTTGTTATTTACGTATAACTTTTTATTTACAATTTTTTTTCACCGTAACTTCGAAATTAAATCCTTTGATTTCTTAACTAGAAATTTACTTTTAATTGAATAAAAAAAGAAAAAAAAACAGATTTTCTTAGTTTCATTATAATCTTATAGCAACGAAACAAATTTTTCATTTTGTTATCTCTTTATCTTAATTTTGACTGCGATTATCGTCCAGATGTTTGGAGTGTCGTGCAAAAAACTACGCGACGCCGACGAGAAATTGCGTGGGGGGGCGGCGCCCCCACGCGGCCCCCTCCCTCCTGGTGAGTCATCACCCCGCCAGTCCTGATCTGTTATCTATATTATCTTAATATCTTTATCATTTTATAATCTATTTTATCTTAATATCTTTATCACCTTATAATCTATATTATCTTAGTATATTTATCATCTAATAAACCATATTATATTATCTTAATATCTCTATCGTCTTATAATCTATGTTATCTTAGTATATTTATTATCTAATAATCTATATTATCTTAATCTCTTTATCATCTTATAATCTATGTTATCTTAGTATATTTATCATCTAATAATCTATATTAGCTTAATCTCTTTATCATCTAATAAACTATATTATCTTGATATCTTTATTATCTTATAATCTATATTATCATAATCTCTTTACCATCTTATATTCTATATTACGTATCTATAAATTGATACAGATACAGTTTCATTACATTTATTATATACCGTATCATAATATCAGGATGATGAATAACTTTTCAAGTCTCACTTGAATTCCACCAAATTCGACCCAATGATCTCATGTTAGGATTTCATTTTCCAAAGCCAATATGTTCACTTTAATGAAAAATCTTATCCTATTTGAAATATAACTTCCGAAATTATTATAAAAGTGATTAATTAGCTGATAATCTCAACCTCGTCAGGCGACGACGAAGACGTGCAGGATTTAACTGCTGAGGTCCTGGAGGAGCCGGAGGAACTGCTGGCCTTTGCTCGCGTCTTTAGCGGCTCCCTGAAGCCTGGCATGGAGGTGAAGATTACTGCTGCTATACTGTTTATTGCTATATTATTTTATTTATATTATTATATTACATATATGTTATTTATTTATATTCTTATATTTTTATATATAGTGGCTCCCTGAAGCCTGGCATGGAGGTCAGGGTTACTGCTGCTGGCAGCAGATGAAACATAATTAAAATTAATAAATAATATGACTTAATATGATAATATTTTTTATATTTATATTATTTATATTCTTATATTTTTATTTTTTTATTCTTTATAGGTATTTATTATTTATTTATTTATAATATATATATATATTATTAGTATTTAAGTACTATTATATAATAATATTTTTTATATTTTTATATAACATTTAGTATAATAACGGTATATATTTTTTCATTATTCAATATAATTGAATATATTATAATATAATAATAAATGTATAACGTGACAGGTGTACGTGTTGGGGCCAAAGCACAACCCTGCGTCGGTAGCGCCGTTCATGTCTCCTGATGGGGAGCTCAGTGATGAGCACCTCGCTCTGTGTCCTCATATTACGCGCTGCAAGGTGCCTTATGGGTCAACCTGACTCACTTTAGCATTAACTGATTTAGTATTAACCTAATAATTTAAATAATTTATATAGGGTTGGATTTTCTCGACAAGATAAAAAATTTATAGTCGAGAAAATTTAGTTTTGGTTAAGGTAAATAAAGTTATCAATTGGCTTAGTTTAATTGGGGTTTACCCTCATTTTGCAGGCTTACGCGCGCCATAAATACCGCAGTTTCCACGTAATTTCGTATGATTTCTTCTCACAGTTATCTTTAGTAGGTACCGTTAATTAATTTATTTGAAAAAACTTCATTTCAAATAATAAAATGAAATTAAAATTAATTTACCTGCTGCTGAGGCACCAGATTCTGCGAGCACTCAGGAAAAAAATGTGTCATGTTGTCCTTCGTGACCTTTTTTTACACGTAACAGTGACACTCACTTTTGCCGGGCAAAACTGTGTCAGGATAATCCACACAAGTGCTAGAAGTGCATCGTTTTTTTGGACAAAGTCTCATCATTTTTCCGCATGTTAAATTTTTTTCCAATAGCTGAACATAATATAAAAATTTTCAACTTTAAAATTTTTTGTAAAATTTTTAACTTGGAAATTTATTTATAATTTTGTAATGTGATGCAAGGAAGTTTGACACGTCAGGTTGGTGGGGTGTACCTCCTGCTGGGGCGCGAGGTACAGAGTCTGGGGTCAGCGGGCGCCGGCCTCCTGGTGGGGGTGGGTGGCCTCACGGGGCACATCGTCAAGAGCGGCAGCCTCAGCAGCACCCCAGCCTGTCCTCCCTTCACCCACGTCATCCACACCGCCGGTCCCAGCCTTAATGGTGACTATTATTGTTATATTTTTACACTGGTCCCAGCCTTAATGGTGACTATTATTGTTATATTTTTACACTGGTCCCAGCCTTAATGGTGACTATTATTGTTATATTATTACGCCAGTCCAAGCCTTAATGGTGGTCTTAATGGTGACTATTATTGTTATTGTTGTTACGCCAGTCCCAGCCTTAATGGTGACTATTATTGTTGTTACGCCGGTCCCAGCCTTAATGGTGACTATTATTGTTGTTACGCTGGTCCCAGCCTTAATGGTGACTATTATTGTTGTTACGCTGGTCCCAGCCTTAATGGTGACTATTATTGTTGTTACGCTGGTCCCAGCCTTAATGGTGACTATTATTGTTGTTACCCCGGTCCCAGCGTTAATGGTGACTATATTATTGTTGTTACTCTGGTCCCAGCCTTAATGGTGACTATTATTGTTGTTAGGCTGGTCCCAGCCTTAATGGGACTATTATTGTTGTTAGGCTGGTCCCAGCCTTTATGGTGACTATATTATTGTTGTTACGCTGGTCCCAGCCTTAATGGTGACTATTATTTTGTTACGCTGGTCCCAGCCTTTATGGTGACTATTATTGTTGTTACGCCGGTCCCAGCCTTAATGGTGACTATTATTGTTGTTAGGCTGGTCCCAGCCTTAATGGTGACTATTATTGTTGTTAGGCTGGTCCCAGCCTTTATGGTGACTATTATTGTTGTTACGCCGGTCCCAGCCTTAATGGTGACTATTATGGTTGTTACGCTGGTCCCAGCCTTAATGGTGACTATTATTGTTGTTACNNNATGTTGCACCCGTGCTGATGTTGCACTCGTGCTGATGTTGCACTCGTGCTGATGTTGCACCCGTGCTGATGTTGCACTCGTGCTGATGTTGCACCCGTGCTGATGTTGCACTCGTGCTGATGTTTCTATCCCTCAGGAGATGCTGAGGGCTCGCTGCTGAGGGTACAGGTGCTCCCTAAGAACCCTCGCTGCCTCCCCGAGCTGAGGGAAGGCCTGAGGCTACTCAACCAAGCCGACCCTTGTGTTCAGGTAACATATTTTTACAATTAACTAATTTTAATATTAATTATCTTCAAAATTGAGTAGTAATAAATATTGAAGTGATTAACTCTTAATTGCAATATCTTCACTACGTATATAAAGTTACAGCTGTTAAATATCAATAATTTCGATAACAGTGTCAAGGGATAACATTTCAACTAAACTCTACGCATACAGTTTTTGTAATGAGAATATTTGCTATTTTATATCCCGTTACAAACAATTGTAGGAACTTACATGGTATTGCAAGGAAACCAATTTAATTTTTTGAATTTAAGAACATTGCATATTGAGTCTTTAGAATGAAATGTGCATGTTGGTGCTATGAGAATCATCAATATAATTACTATCCAAGGGTAACATAGATATTAAATATCCAAATAAAATAGTGTATAGGTGTACACAACTTACTTAGATTGATGTATAATACAAGACTATGTGAAGGTTTGGCCGCAGTCGTCGGGACTGTGTGTACAAATCAATATGTAATATAGGTTTCCTATAAGAAATATATTCTCTAATGATATTTATAATTACCGTAAAACAAGGTGACTTGGACCACTTTTATCGCGTAACTATTTATGATACAAATAGTCACATAGTAAATATATGAATTATATCTCTTTAATGCATTTGTAGGTTATTTCATGGTACTTCAAGAGCCATCAATTTTGCATGGCAAAAACTTATCGATTAAAGCTTTTCTTTTCTTAAATGTCAAATCGGCCCAAGTTACCTACCCCGTTATTCAGTGCCTATGGCACTGAATATAAATATAAATACTCTCTAATAAATAATAATAAGTATAAATACTCTCTAATATGAATAATTTTTAAAACCTTCAAATATAATATTGGATTTTCATACGAAATATAGTATTATATAGTGATGTTTAATTAATTAATAATTTCTTGGAACAGTCTGCCTGCTTCCATATCTTTGGCTCCTTTGCAAGTGTTTCGTCGACGCCTAAAGACTGAACTATTTCTTAAAGCCTATGAATCTTGTACTTAGTCATTTTATTCATTCCCTTTATTTCTAGTGTCTATTTATTTTTCGCTTGCTATTAATCTTATGTGTGGCGTGCCCTCAAAGATAGGACATAAGATATCGACATAAATGTCGACATGAATGTTGATACACATTTATGTCGATACACTAGATATTGACATAAATGTCGATACTCATTTATTTTCGCTTGTTATTAATCTTATGTGTGACGTGCCTTCTTAAGTTCGTTTGAACCAGACGCCTCGATAAATGATTCATAGATAATAATAATGATAATAATAATTAATACATGCCTGGTGCGCAGGTTTGGCTGGAGTCGTCAGGGCAGTACATGATAGGCGCGGCTGGGGAGGTGCACCTGCAGCGCTGTCTTAGTGACCTGCAGGACAAGTCAGTCTTGGGCATGTCACTGAATAATATTGCAATATTATCTTTAGTTAGAAATCGTGTGATTTTACAATATTATCATAATGATGTTTATTAATTACTTATATGGTGACTGAATAATATTACATTGATTATTAGTTAGAAATCGTATGATATTACAATATTATCTTAATGATGTTTATTAATTACTCATATGGTGATGATAAAAATCCTGCAAACATGTTATCTGTATACACGATTTTCACATTTTTTTCAATCTAATTATGATTTTTTGCCGTAAAAAATATTAATAATATTCAAAATGAAATTGATGGCAAGTATTGTAGGAGGAAATTATTGTAATGTATAGCGTGATTAATTGAATTGTATGGCAAGGAAATATCATTAGGGATATTCAGCTCTAATGAAAGTTGCCCTCACAACACACAATAGAACATCTTCAACCTGCATCACTGATTATATTTACTCTCACTATTGCTTTACCCTCACTATTGCTTTACCTTCACTATTGTTTTATCCTCACTATTGCTTTGCCCCCACTATTGCTTTACCCTCACTATTGCTTTACCCTCACTATTGCTTTACCCTCACTATTCTTAGTATCCTTAGTACTTGTTTGGGACGTAGCAGTCCCAGGCCACGATGGATCGCCGCCTCTGATTATCGCTCACCCGGTGGCGCATTTGGGCCACCTGATGCACGATGCTGTTGCTTGCTTCTCGCTGCTGGTGGTGTTGCCGGAGAGGTCGATCTGGGATTGTGCCCAGGAAAACGTCCAGTTGTCTCTTGAAGGTCTCCAGGGTGAACTCCCCCTCTCTTAGATCCCTTGGTAGGGCGTTGAACAGCCTTGGCCCTGCCACAGAAAGCGATCCTTCCCGCAGGGATTGAAATCTGACTGCGGATCTGTTACGCAGGGGAGGGATCTTGCACAGTCTCCCCCTTCTCTCGTTGTGATATGTCTCAATCCTGAAGGTCTCGCTCTCGAACTTTGGCACCATTCCGGTTATTCCGGTTATCATTTTCCACGGGCTTTACCCTTTCCCTATTGCTTTATCCTCATTATTGCTTCACTCCCAACATTTGTTTTTTTCACAATTGCTTTGCCCCCAAATTTGCAATATCCTCATAATTGCATTACTCTCAGCGTTTTATTTGCCTCACAGGCGCATGTCCCTCACAACAGTTTCCCCTCACAACCGCATGTCCCTCACAACAGTTTGGGTTTCCCAGGGCTCACAACCGCATGTCCCTCACAACAGTTTCCCCTCACAACAGTTTCCCCTCACAACAGTTTCCCCTCACAACAGTTTCCCCTCACAACAGTTTCCCTCACACCAGTTTCCCCTCACAACCGCATGTCCCTCACAACAGTTTCCCCTCACAACCGCATGTCCCTCACACCAGTTTCCCCTCACAACCGCATTTCCCTCACACCAGTTTCCCCTCACAACCGCATGTCCCTCACACCAGTTTCCCCTCACAACCGCATGTCCCTCACAACAGTTCCCCCTCACAACATTTTCTCCTCACAACAGTTTCCCCTCACAACAGTTTCCCCTCACAACATTTTCCCCTCACAACATTTTCCCCTCACAACATTTTCCCCTCACAACATTTTCCCCTCACAGTTTCCCCTCACAACAGTTTCCCCTCACAACCGCATGTCCCTCACAACAGTTTCCCCTCACAATCGCATGTCCCTCACACCAGTTTCCCCTCACAACCGCATGTCCCTCACAACAGTTTCCCCTCACAACCGCATGTCCCTCACACCAGTTTCCCCTCACAGTAGTTTCCCCTCACACCAGTTTCCCCTCACAACTGTTTCCCCTCACACCAGTTGTCCCTCACAACAGTTCCCCCTCACAACAGTTTCCCCTCACACTGTCGTGGCTTCCGCACTACCGCAATTTCTGCGCGGTAACCACCACAAAAAGCCTCAGTGATCGACAGTCGGCAGTACACGAAGGATAAATAAGGACACCTTTTCTTTGGGTTCTTTAACTGTAAACACATGCGAATCATGAAAGTCATATAACTATGCAAACGTATAATTGAACGGATAAGAGCACATATGAACAGGGCCACTGGCACAGGTGGGAGCAGACGATTGACTGACTCCGCTATCGAAAATATGGCCTCAAGAAGTGCTTTTTGTGGAGAACCATTTGGCCAGTTCACTTTGAATAATACAATTTATTCAGACCCTAAATTCTTAATAATTATTACTGGTCTACTTCAATTATGGTGTGGGAACCACAACACCAGTTTCCCCTCACAACTGTTTCCCCTCACACCAGTTGTCCCTCACAACAGTTTCCCCTCACAACCGCATGTCCCTCACACCTGAAGGTACGCGCGCACGGCGGTGACGGCGTCTGCGCCCATCGTGCCGTTCAGGGAGACCATCGTGCCGCGCCCCCGCGTCGACAACACCAACGAGGCCATCGAGGGAGAGAACGTCGACACCTCCAAGCTGGTGGGTCACAAGTGGGTCATTGGTGGGTCATTGGTGGATTATTGGTGGGTTATAGGTGGGGCATAGCTGGGTCATTAGTGGGTAATAGCAACTTACGAGAGTACGTCGACATGTCCAAGCTGGTGGGGCAGACTCAGAAGTGGGTCATTTGTGGGTTATTGGTGGGTCATAGCTGGGTCATTAGTGGGTAATAGGTGCCATAGCAACTTACGAGAGTACGTTGACATGTCCAAGCTGCAGGGTTATAAGTGAATATTAGCGATGCCAGTGGAGATTACCAACGCTGGTGGGTTATAACAAAGCTGATAGATCATAATAATAACGCATGTAGATCTCATCAACGCCATGTCTCATGGATCGCCTTCTATGCGACTATTAGCACTGTAATATTTCATTAATATTGACTTATAACTTTTCCAGTTACTACGTAGTTCAAAATTAGTTCAATTGTCTAAATTCAACTCACCTTACAACATTTATAATGATATTCTCTCCAGTAATTCACTTATTTTTGCATTTATAATTGCCTCATATTTTCTCTTATGCACTTTCTTTTTATGTGCCCTAACAATTGTTATCATTTGAAGACTTTGACTTCTATCAAGTCAACTTTTCATTCTTGTTTTATAATGATATTATCTACAATAATTTATTTCTTATTACATTTATAGTTCTTCTTAGTTTCGCTCACGTTCTTTATTGACAAGTACATTTCTTTCTTTTTTATGTATTTATAGTCCTTTCAGTTTCACACACATCCATCATTTTTTTGTATTTTTAGGGCATTTTCTCATTTATGGAAAAATGCACTATTGTGCTCGCCATGTCCGTCTGTCCGTCCGTGACTTCACGTTTTCGTCAACGAGAAAATGCGCTCTCTGTCACTCGCTGCAGTGAGTACTGAGTTATATATATATAGGTATATATACATATTTTTCACTTCCAGTTGCCATTATTTTCTATTACTTCCCTAATATGTTCACTAACATCGTAATTCTTTGCAGGCTGGAGATGGTGCCGTGAGGCTAGACGCAGCTCTAGGCAGCATCAGAGTGCGTGCTGTGCCTCTGCCCAGCTCTGTGACAGAGCTGCTCTGCGCTAACTCTGAACTGCTCTCTGCTCTGTCATCTCAGAGCAACACAATCAACGTGGCTGCCGGCATGGCCTCCCAGAACAGCTTCCTCAAGAAACCCAGCGATGCCTTCAACTCTCAAATTAATTCATTGTTTAAAGAAACTAAATCTCATCTAAATGACCACGATGAAAACTCCGACGTTATTATTTCTAATGGTGGAGACGCTAAATCCAACGTCAGTTCTAAAACAGAGGAAAAAAGTGCAAGGGATTTTGAATCTGAAGGAATTTCTGTTGTAGATTCAAGTATAGAAACTCCTAAAGAGGCGAAGGCTAATGATGGCGATAAGATTACTGACGACGTGAAGGGTATTCAACTTGGTAAGACTCCTGAAGTGGTGAAGGGTAGTGAAGAGACTCTCCCTTTAACGAGCTTCACCTCGACAACTCGGTCGAGTCCCCAGACTCTGACGCGAGAGACACAAGCTGCTTTAGTTCACCTGAAGAAGCAGCTATCAGAGGCTTTCTCTGCCGCTGGGGAAGAATGGGCTGGGGCTGAGGACCAGATGTGGACTGTGGGTCCCCATTACTGTGGCCCCAACATCCTGCTCAACAGAGTCCCTAGCTATGGGGACCGTCCCTCAATCTGGATGCCCAAAGCCTCGATGCCCTCGTCTCCCCTCGCGTCCATGGACCACGCCTTGGTTACTGGTGGGTGCAGCGAGGATCTCCTTTTAAAATTTAGACTAATCCGTTTAGAGTTAAAAATTGGAAGCAAAGGTTTTCCTAATTTTCATAATGATCATAATTATTTCCAGGATGATCATAATTTTCAACTATTTCATATACATTAAATGTTATCTAATTAATTTTAATATAGTTTCCGCATGGGACAGCTTCATGGTCTGTTCCTCGGCCCCAGTCCCTCTCTTTCATTTATATCTGGCCCAATTATATTGTAACTTTAATTTGTAGAAATGAACATATGATATTCAGCTATTTATTTTTTATACTAAATTAATTGCTTGAATCGATCTGTTAGTTACTTGAAAGATTACAGTCGATCCTGGTTATTCCGGTAATCTTTTTGGTACCAGCATAGAATTTTGTCGTATAATTCGAGGCGTTCGCCTAATTAAATTTTGTGTCATTTGCCACATTTTGCATCAATTATTGCTCGTTTCTTGCACAGGTTTCCAGTTGTGTTGCGCCGCGGGGTCGCTGTGCGAGGAGCCGCTCATGGGCGTCTGTTTCCTGGTGGAGGACTGGCAGCCTCCGTCTGACAGCGCCCAGCTACCACCGGGCAAGGTCGCCATATTTCTACTTGAATAATGCCCTCCATATTGACTCTTACTAAATTTATTTTTATAATTTTGAATAATGCGCTTCTTGACTTTTACTTACTTTATTTAATTATATTTACAGGTACGTGATGATTTATCTTATATCTCATTTATTTAGGCAATATTATAGGTAATCCCACGGCAAGGTCGCGATATTTGTGCTTGAATAATGCACTTCATCTTGACTCTTAATAACTTTATTTATGTAATTTTTCATAATGCGCTTCATTTCGGCTCTTAATAACTTTATTTGTATAATTTTGAATAGTGCGCTTCTTCTTGACTTTTAATACGGCAACTTTATTTAATTATATTTACAGGTACGTGATGATTTATCTTATATCTCATGTTTTTATCTCATTCTCTTATATCTCTTATATCTCATTCTTCGAGTTTCTAAGTTTACCTCATTTTTCGCATTTTTTTGTAATATATTAATAATATTTATGAGATTTCTAAACTGATTGGAACAGCACGGATTAAAAGACGTATCATATCCTCATGAATGACACGTGTTATTCTACCTTATATACAATATGTGCAGAATGAAAATGCAACGTCTTCGATGGACAAACGTACAGTTTCAGTTTCACTCTTTCTAATCTAAATAAGTGACGTTTCATGTGATAATGCTATCTAATCTAAATAAAATAACGTTGCAGGTGATGATGCTTTCTAAAGAGCTTTTCCTGAACGCGTTCGACGAGCAGCCACGACGCATGATGGTCGCGACGTACAGCTGCGTCGTGAGCGTCACGTCTGAGGTCGTGGGCAGAGTTTATTCAGTGTTGGGTCGCCGCCACGGCAGGATATTGGCTGGCGACATCACTGAAGGCTCGAACGCATGGAACGTTACAGCTTATTTGCCCATCGTTGAAAGCATCGACTTCGCCAACGAACTGCGCAAGGCTGTGAGTCTTGGTTTTATTTCAGGGCTCTTTTTGCAAGAAAATTTGCCTTTGTCTTGGGATTTTTGCCCATATAATTTTAAGTGAGTTCACCGCACTGACCGATAATCACCTGCAAATTGAATAGAGCTTGGCCGCGGCTAGGCAGAGTTGTAATAAAATTTCCTATGAATTCAAATTAAATTTTTTTAGTACTGTCCTAATAATCAGTGAAATTCGTCTTTCATGTCTGCCAGAAATAAAATGACGTTAGAGCTCTGCTCTAACGTCTGCTCAGCCCCTGTTATTTTTTCTCAAATGATTTTAAATCACACAATTATGCTAATTTTTCCATCTCTCTTGCACTCATCGGGGGAGGCTTAGCTGTTTTTTTTTCTCGTGGATGTAATGTAATTATGTTTTTTTATGAGCTTATTTAATTTTTTGTTCAATTTCTTAACTTCCCTAGACGTCGAGGGAGACTGAGCAGCTTTTATTCTCGTGGTACATTGTAATTATCATTTTTTCAATAAGCTAATAATTTTCCGTTCAATTTCCTAACTTCTTTGCAGAAACCTGGTTATCTGGCTTCCCCATTTTGATGCTATGTCATTTCTTATTAACCGTTAACATTTTTTGTACAATTTCTCACCTCCCCTAGACGTCGGGGGAGGCTGAGCTGCTTGTTTTTCTCGTGGATGTATTGTAATTGTCTTTTTAATGAGCTTATTTAATTTTTTGTCCAATCTCTTACCTCCCCCAGACCTCTGGGGAGGCTCAGCCACAACTGATGTTCTCCCACTGGGAGACGCTGGAGGTTGACCCGTACTGGGACCCGTGCACGGCTGAGGAGCTCAAGCACTTCGGGCAGAAGGCGGACACCGAGAACCTGGCCCGCGTCTACATGAACGCCGTGCGCAGGCGTAAGGGCATCAAGGAGTACGGCAAGAAGCTCGTCGAGTTCGGCGAGAAACAGCGAACTCTCACTAAGAATAAATAACAGTTCGTGTCATCGAGTGGAGTAAAAGAGTTCACTACCGTGTTTTATTTCCCGTGTATTGTTATTGGAGTTCACGGAGATAAGTTTGAATTTGTTTTGCCCCTTGTCTACAGATAATTTATTCGCAGCTGAAGTCCTTTTAGTCCTTCGCCGGCAGACTAAGGGTCTAGGTGAATTAATTCATTGATACAAATGTTACACGGTAATAAAACGATTGTGATGTAAAATAAATGAGATGTTCGCACAACTGTGATTTCTTTATAAAATTTTGTACTCTTATCGGAACTTTGTGATCAATGAAAGTACATCGCTTCAAAAGTTATCCACGAATGATAAGAGTTTAGTGAAAAGCTTTAACTATTCATAGACCTACGAAAAAAATGTTCTGTTCTATCCATGTTTAACAGAAACCATGTCCACAACTAATCGCTTTAACGAACGAACTGAGAGCGCCGTCCTCGGTTTTATGCGTGTCTATGGTGCATCTCAACTGAGCCATTGACTTCTGAATTTCGTATTACCGTATTAGTCCGAATTCAGTATCAAGTCTATGGCTTCTTACTTCCAAACGACTCTTGCTCAGTTCGATTTGGGCCTTCGCAATCCTACTTCCGACCATTTTTCGAGTTATGCCTTCGTCTCCTATCTAGTGACGACACCAACTTTATTCCTATGGACTGGCAGTTATGCAGGAGGACAGCGATATGTCGTGTCCCGCCAAACTACAGGGGAAGTTCCCCTTACAGCTTTCTCCACGACAGAGTAATATTCTTTGGGTACGAGGCTCCCTATTCACCATTGCGGCTGTGTCAACAGACAGAAAATGCCCTCATTCTGTGCTGAAAACCCGCGTCAACTTCCTCAAAGCCCTCGCCATTACGAGCCCGTTGCCTGAACCCCTTTCGTATCGGACACATTCATCGTCGCCAATGCTATTCGTATCTAGTGGTTTGAGACCGAGAAGTCACGAAAAGGTTAACTGGGCTATTTTAGCCTATTTAGTCAGTTAGGATCATTGGTCTCTATTTTTACTCATATATTGTTTTTCAACAGGAAAACGTGCCCGTTGTTACGGAGAAAGAAGCTCATTACAAGCAGATAACTGAATAATTTTTCCGTTCATGTCTGAAAGAAATGGACATCGAAGGAGACGAGGCATAACTCCATGAGTTTCAAACCAACACGTCAAGTCAACTCAGCACGGGCCTTGATAGCCTTGCGAATAAATATGTTCTTAAGCATCTCCTGCTTCCCGGACCATTTCCTTAGCCCGACTAACTTGCCTTCTTGAGCATTTTTCCTATACAGTAAAATTCGAGCGTCAATCGATAAAGTTTATCGTTATCAACGATTATTCCCGAAAGCTGACTCGCTTGAAGACATAAAATTTAGAACTTATCGATACAAGCTTCAGCGAGTGGCTTGAAACTTTACAAGACGACTCTATGAGTTCTCAGCAAATCGCGAGCGTAATTTTAGAAATCGATTGGAAAAAGACTACGATTGTTTGGGGAATTATAATTGGGCAATTTTGTTATATGTATGTAATCGACAGCTGTTCATTATTAAAATCTAGAAAAATTCGTTTTCCCAGTTTTTTGTATTTTATTTTATTAATTTTTTTTGTCGACACCTTGTACTTAGTCTTATATCATCTATTAACACTCCCATGAGGAATCAAGTTCAGCGGAGTGTTCTTTTCGAACGTTCTCCTGCTTTTTGGCGTTCTGCTTGTAATGGTGTCTCAAATATGTGGCGTTCTTTCTAGAATGGTGTCTCGGAACTGGCGTTCTGCACGAAAAAATATTCCATTAAAAATGCATTCTGAATATATTATATAAATACTGAATATGTTGTGTGCTTTCAGTAAGTGTATTCACCAGGCAAATCTAGAATGAGTCGCGTTCTACCAGAAAAGCTGTCCCAAAATCAAGGCGTTCTGCCTGGCACAATCGACAGTCTCACGTTTGCTGCGGTCAACGGTTGCCTGTGCCGTGAATCTTTGCTTGCAAATTGCGAGGCCTTCGGTGAAGGCAAATTTTACGACTCTGGCTTAGGATTAGTTTAGGATGCTCCCACGCCTTATTTTGCTTATATAATTTTTATTTAATGACCGAGACATTATTAAGCATTTGAATCGTCAAATAATAGAAAAATAAACCGGAAGAAAGAAGGAAATGACTCCAATAATTGTTATTAATTATAACGAATTAAATCCTGATGGTTCTTAAAATCGGTAAGGAAAACTACGTACAAGTCATTGACCGTAAATGTGTCAAAGCCACGTTCTTCGTTCTGGTGTATGAGTATACATACCCTGTATTTACATCATATATTGGTGTACTATTGATCATTATGATTTTAGTTTGGCATAAATCCATCGTTATTTTGTGTAATGCATGCAATGTAGCCGAACAACATACCGAGTTAGGTGCAATCATGTTGCCACACATCCAAATTTTCTTATCGAATATCCGATGCACGGAGATTTAATCCTGCAATGACAGCGACATTCAAGAGTCCTTCAAGCAACGGATGTTAACGCGGCTGAGGTGTGGAAGCCTTTGAGTGCGAGGACGACATTCCGTTGAGAGAAACTTGACAGTTCTGGCAAAGGAGGGAGGCCTGACAACTCTGTAAGACAGGAGATAAGTCAGTACATTCGTCGGTACCTAAGCCAGTCAGTTGAGCTCTCAGTAAGTAGCTAATTCAGTAGTTAAATGAGTAGCGCAATCAGTTGCTAAGCCAGTAACCAAGTCGGGAGCCAACGCAGTAGCTAAGTTGGTAGCAGAATTGATTGACATTAAGACTATGATCGCAGGGATGTCACGTTTGGTCTCCTCCTGTCTCCTATAGAACAGCGAGCATTACAAGTGTAGCAGGAACATTAGCACAGCACTACAAGTGTAGCAGGAACATTAGCACAGCACTACAAGTGTAGCAGGAACATTAGCACAGCACTACAAGTGTAGCAGGAACATTAGCACAGCAATACAAGTGTAGCACGAACATCTAGAGAGATTGGTGAGATTTATTTATTTAAGCAGTGCACTTTATTCTCTTTTGTGAGTCGCCTCGACCCACATCAGCTCGGGAAAATTACGTATCAGTGTTCTCTGCTCATGCGATGGGTTAGAAAGTGTGTCACTATTCGAACAAAATGATCCATCTATTCACAATTAAAATGTGTACCAGAATATAGTGCCTCCCTCGCGTCCGCGAATTTTTTCCGAGTCCGACTTATCTTTTGCATTTGTTTCCTCTGATCTCGGCACGGACGCTCTCTGAACCATTCCAACAATTCCAGTTCATATTTATAACAGATCGTATATATTCAGTAAAAGTCTCAGCAACACTGCACAAAATGACAGTTTTATAATGGACCTCTACAGGGAAATGTTGGAAATGTTCTCATAGAAATCATACTCGTGCACTTGTGAAGCAATAGTGCAACACTTCTCGTCAGGGAATTTAAATGAAGATTAACTGAATAAATAAATACTGAATATGATGTGTGCTCTCAGTAAGTATATTTGCTAGGCATGAATGCATTGCGCAGGCATTTTAACTCTTTTCTACTAACTCATGCATACTAAATATCGATCTTATAGCGAAGGAAATTTCTACTTCCACGCTACAGACGAACCTCAGGCCGGAAAATAAAAGTTTTAAATTTACAAAGTTTAACGACGTTGTACATGTAATTCAATAATAACATCGACACTGATTTTTTCCTTGAAAGTAATTTGCATTCCTCTTCCTTTAATAATTAATAATTGTGATGACAACGTACGTATCACCTAAACTAACAACTATTAAGTAAAACCATTAACTCAATAGAGGCGTATGATATTAATCCGGCATTTTGAAAACACGTTGTTTGCCCTGAACGCTTTTTGACAGTCGCCGGACCTCGTGAATTTGCATCCGCAAATCCTTCTGTTGGAGAGACTACAAGAATCATGCATGTGAAATGCCTTCAAAACACGACATTGTTTTCGTGGCGCCTTCGCAAAACAGAGCCATCAATGGCGACCAGAACAGCGATGCACTCTTTTGTCAACGATGAGTCGATACATCAACAGAGCGTTGAGTCGATACATCAACAGGGCGTTGAGTCGATACATCAACAGGGCGTTGAGTCGATACATCAACAGGGCGTTGAGTCGATACATCAACAGGGCGTTGAGCCGATACATCAAGAGGGCGTTTAAGTCGATACATCAACAGGGCGTTAAGTCGATACATCAACATGGCATATAGTCGATACATCAACAGGGCGCGATTCATCAATTGCTCTGAAGGCAACTTACGGGAGCACAAAACTTTATTCGTTACCGCAGTCAGAAGAACTCATTTATTTCATTGACACTTATTTCCCACGAAGCCCTTGATGCAAATTTTCATGTCATGTGTTAAATGAAGATTTTCCATTCCGGTCCCAAATTCATCTGAATTTTAAGAAAAAATTAGAAATTCGGCTTCGATGAACGCAATTATTGCCGTATGCATGGTTTTATTAAATTATGGTAGTTTACTTTACTTTTTTTACTCTATTTCATTTCTTTTAATTTAAATAAAATTTCATTTTAACTATCAAATCAAGTTGTACACATGAGTTAGGGTAAGACCATGCCTTGTTGCCGGCCGTGGCGACAGAATTCCGTTAATGGAATGAAAATCTTACTTAAGACTCCAGGAATAGATACATTCAGAATCGGTATATATTCAAGTTAAACTATGATCTACAATACCGTATATTAAAATCCACATATCTTCAACTGCAATGAACAAAGATTAAACGCTCCTTCTTTCCTCTTTGTCTCCTTCCTTCTTGATGTAATCTCTAATCTTTTCCTCGTTTTTTATTCCTTCTTATTTTAAATTTTCTCAGTTATGAATTCTTATTTCCCGTACCCATTTTTGGAACACATCTACTGTCGCTCCCACCCGTCCTTTACAGCTGCTCAGACTCAAGCATCACTCGTTATTGAAGAGACGCTCAGACGGCGCTGAGAATAAACATGTTTTGGTCCCGGGGGGCCGAAATGAGCTCCAAATTACGCCTGCTTCACAATAGCTTCAAGTCGTCTTAAATATGCCTGCTTCACTATAGCTTCACCTCGTCTTTAATCCATGCCTGCTTCACTATAGCTTCATGTCGTCTTTAATTCATGCGTGCTTCACTATAGCTTCATGTCGTCCTAAAATATGCCTGCTTCACTATAGCTTCACGTCGTCTTTAAT